GTCATGCACGTATGTCTGTGGAGGCCATTACTATATACCCTGTACACTAGGTGCACCATACTTGATACATAATAGGAACTTAGTAAGTACTTATGAGATAAATTAATGAAATATTTTGTGCCTACTCTGCATTATGTAATGAGCTTAAGACAGGGGGTACCCCCTACCCATGACCTCAAGGAGACACCTGAGACGAGATTTACATGCCAGAGTAGAATTTATCAGTCTCTTCATCAGTCCTTTCCACGTGTTTTGTGACAACTCAGCTTAAAGCAGAGAGCCCCTTCTGCCCTGACAGGCATTAGAGACAACTGCAGGGCCATTGCTCATCACTAAGCTTACAGGTGGGTTTCAGGATTAAATTAGCACCAGATTTGAGGTCTCATTACTTCAAACTCAATACACAATTTTAGAGCAGCCCACTGGATCTGGGAAATTTTAGTACTATGACAGCCTTATTCCCACTTCATCTTGGAATCCGGCTCCTTCTCTGCTTCTGCTCCTAAGCTTAAATCAACTACCAGTATCTGTCCAAATTGGAGTTATGCCATAGCTTTTCACCTGGCAATGAATAACTTCACCCATGACTTTAGGGATTGGTGGCATAACCCATGAACTCGATCTAGAGGGTAGATCATTTGGAACTGGTAAGGACAAGCTTGACAGAAATATTTAAATGCATCCAAACTTCAGACAAGTTATAGGGACTTTAAAAAAAGTCAGAAAAATAAAAATTGTTAGAATAAAATGAAACACATTTTTGGAAAGTACCCACTTTATAACTGTCAAAGATTATAGTTTTCATGGAATTATACTTTTATTCTTTCAATAGTATATTTCTCCAAAATAATCACACTTACCCAGACTCCCAGCCCAGGTAATTACATTAGCATGTCAACTAATTTAATGACAGCATTAAGTTTTTACCAGTTATGAGTAAATAATGTATTTGTACAACTGGAAGTGATTTGCAACAAATTTGACTTATCAAGCAATACTGAGTTTAGCACTGATAAATGGTATTAAAATGTTGGATGGAATTCAGACCACATTGGTTGTAATAAACCAGTGTAGGCTTCAGGAGAAGCAGAGCAGCATAATAAAACTCAAGAACATTAAATTCACTTAAAAGGCCAACCTGACAGCACTGGAGGCCAGTATCTTTCCTTTATTCCCAAGGCCTGTATAATGTAGGCCTCAGGCTCAAGTATTAGTAAAATCTCCTATAGTGTTCTTCCAATAAACTTACCCATTTTCCATGAAGGAACACCTTATAAGGAGAAAAAGGTAAAGTATCCACCTCATAATTTAAGATTTAACCTCAAAATCTTTCAACAAAGGAATTTCTCCTGGTATCAAGGGATCCTGTACTGCGAGTTTCATGCAATGTGGGGCTCCTTGGAGACAGAGACTCTTACCTTCCTAGATTGTAATCCACATTCCACACACAGACAACTTGGTACAAAGCTGGCACTCAATGCTTATTGAATAGATTTATTAGTTACTTTAACTTAATTGTATTTCAGCATTAACTTTTTTTTCATTCTCAGTGAATAAGAGTAACATGTGATTTGTAACCTGCATAAAAAGGCCAGATACTAAAATGCCAACTATTTATATGCCAAAAAGAAAAATGCTGAGACATAACTTAAAATGCAATAAAGTATTTCTTCTACATTTAATAGGTCAAATTCTTTAAGTTTCTTTATATAATGTATTTCCATTTATAATGCTAGTTGGTAACTTCTCCTGCTGCTTTTTTACTCAGGCTTACTCATAGATGACCTTATCCTATAAAGAATTTGAGATGGAGTTCCTTTTCCTCCGTATTTTCAAATTGTCACATAAATATGTCTGGTCTGACATTCTGCATTCTATGTATCTTGTGTGCACATGGCTCTGATCCTCTTCTGAACTTCAGTTTCATACCTTCAACATAAGATTAATTACTAATCGCTGTTCTAAGTAGGCAACGCACACTGGGCAATACATCACAGCAAGAACTGAGTCTTGAAGCACTATGATAAAACATCTCCATCTCACCATTATAGCTTTGCCTTATTCAGGCATAGAGTGCTTAAGGCAGCACATTACTTTTTGTTTTACTTCCATCTGTAGTGGTTGAAACAAACTTAATGTTAGAAACTCAAGGGACACTTTAACTTTAATGGCCCTTGTATGTGGGGTTATAGCTAAGTGTAAAACTACTATAATGAAGCTGGCGTACCATGGTTTTATGGTACTATAATAATTACCTGGGAATTGCATCCATGCTGGGAAACTCCACAAGTGATCAATCATATTGTGGTCTTCAGCAGAAAAGTACTAAGTGAATATATAAATAATTGCACCAATGTATGGCCAGCTTATAAATACTACTTACATGGCAAGAAGTACAGGAGAGTCAGAAATAGCATCCATGCAGCATACCTATTCCTACCTTCATTCTAGTAGATTAATAATTAAAAGTATTTTGGTGGAAAGTTTAATTTGTTTTTTTTGAACCAAAGGATGAGATAATTTGCAGTACTCAGACCCTGAGGATGCTGGGCACAGCCAAGGCTGTAGCTAATTTGGGGTTTCAAAGATGGGAGAGCATCCCCTGGTTATTTCATACCACTTCCTGCTTTAATGGAGTTCTTAAGCAAATGTTTACCTTGCCATAATATGTAACTTGGGCAGTATGTTCTGATTATTATGGGATTGTGCTCCCCACTGTGGGTTATTCACAAAATTTTCCTTAAGTTGTTATGCAAAGAAAGTTAATATGAAGGTTCTCCAATGTTCTGGCTGACTTATGTTTGAAGTCTTTTGTTGTTATTTACTTTCTGACAGAGGAGCTGGAAATTGGATTTTGAAACTTTGTGATGTTTGGCTAGTGCTCTTTCACTGAGTGGTGTGTTAGCATGTAGTTTACTTATGCAAAACAACTCAAAAGATGGATTTAAAGTACATTTCTTAGAAGTATGAATGTTTTTGAGAAAAGTTCCTAGCAGTTCCAATTTTGTGGAACAAGAAACTAACATTAGATAAAAATTCTGGCAAGGTACTTAACTATCACCTTCTGCAATCTGAGTTTAGCAACACAACAGCTGTTACCAGGTTTCTCTGTCCGTCCCCATCTCCACTTACCACAAAAGGAAAGTTTAAGAACCACTTCTTGAAAATTAAGTAGATGGTGATACCACTTGTCTGGTACTGCATTTTACCAATAAAGTTTTTGAATAGCAACAACTCTAACCTAGCTCAAGTCTGTAGCAACTCTGGACTTTTCCTTTATAGTAGGAGGCTGGGGAGAAAATTAATTGATGAATATGTGAAGTAGTGAACAGTTAACTGCGGATGCATATGTCCATAAACATACACATCCTTTTCCTTAAATTGTATCTCTGTAACCATCTGCATAACTTTAGTTGAAAAACAGCAATACAAATGGGATATATTTGTGAATTGAGGTCTGGGTAGAAGGGCTCTGTCTCCTCAATGCACATATCCCCCCATACCACTCGGATAAAGATCCTGCATTCTTTTATCCTCACTCTCTCTGCAAAATCCTAGAATCTAAAACAAAAATATAATTTAATTAATGAATTTAATGGATGTACTGCTGAGCTCTTTCACCTACAGAAACAAAACATCACCCTTACCTCCAGATACATGCACACAGGCTTAATTTTTCTCACCAATCAATGCCACTTTCCTCACCATGGGGAACTTTTATGCTGCCATCCCTATGATTAAGTATTATGTGCCTTTCAGTTTGCCTTTATGAATATTTAATTATTTTAATAATACAGCTAAAAGCATTTGACTGATTAACCACAGAAATTCTGATAGTGGGCAGTCTTAAGAAATACCCAGTTCCGGGACCTCAGCTGCAGTATCTACTCTCTAAGCTATCCTGAACCCCTGCTCTGTCAACTCTAGTACTGTTACTAGAGGAATCCAGCTGGCTCCTGCGTTTCTTTTACCTGAGAACACTGATGACAAGGATGACAAACGAGCCCTATTATTACTAATGTAAACAATGCATCAAACTAGAGATAGTTGAAATTCCAAGTCAGGAATATGTTGACCTTGAAAGATACCCAGTTTCACAGGAAGAGTGTGCTGCTTGACATGTGTCCACCTGGGTCCCAAGCACTGATCTAGAATGTGAAAATTTCCTCTTATGCACCATTTTTACTTCCATTCATCCATTCATTTATTTACTCACTCATTCCCAGCACCAAGCAAGACTCTTAACACAGCAAAACCAAAACTGGGTTAATTATCTAGACCAATTCCAGCTTCAGGGCATGAGTGTTGCATTTACTGATAGTTTCCTTAGATGAGCCACTACAATTTGAGACCTTTCCAGTACCAGGCAAGGCTACAGTGAGAACCAGTTCTATAGGCCCCTGTATAGGAAAGAAAGACCAGATCAGAATATTTTAAATTTCCTAGGCTGGGTAAATTAGAAAAGATTGGCCATTTCATATGCTTCCTCAAAGAAGTATAGGATTAGACTATCAGTGAATGGGAATAAGATGGTCTTTATAAGGCCAGCATATTAGCTAAGTAATAGAGAGAGAGAAAAATGGGCAGGAAACAATAGAGGAAGAAAAGGAAAAGAAACAACTTGAATCAAAAGACGTTAAGAGCTGTGTGGCCCAGGACAGGCACTTACCAGTGTCGCACTGACGTGGTAAGGGGCAGTCAGCGGGCAAGAAGGATGGGGTGGACAAACGGGTGGGAGGTAGACAGCATCCAACTTCTCACCAATCCCACCACTTCTACCTACTCCAGGTTGCCATCACCACTGTAGACTACTGAAATAGCTTTCTGACCCTTGCTCCTCTATAGGTTTTCCTCTATCCATAATCAGAAGTGATCCTTATAAAAGGTAAATTACAGTTATATCACTTCCCTGCTCCGAACATTCAACATCTTCCCCTCCCACTCAGAATAAATTTCAGTCCTTATTACAGCTTGAGAGGCCACCCATTATCTGGCCTCACCTCTTCTTCAGCATGCTACAGCAAGGCTTTCTCTGTTCCTTGAGTGCATTAGGTTTCTTTCCTCTTCAGGGACTTTGTGTTTTGTGTTGGAACTCTCTCCCCCCAATCTGCCCACAGCCGACTCCTTCTCATAGGTACAGTTCAAAAGTCATTTTGACCATGTCTTACTCATAGATGAGGTCAATAAATGTCTGCTGAGTGAATAAATGATTATGAAAGTTTAATTATAACTTTAGTAACTGAAGAACACTGGGTGCAAAAGACTTGGTCAGTGGGAATGCTTGTTTTTCCAGATGATTTAGGGATATCTTGTAGAAAACAATAATCTGTGACACAGAAATATTGCCAATGCATGTAACAAGAACACAGTTTCCAGCCTAATAAAGAACTTTTTTAAATTAGAAGTTTATATGTTTTATTTTCTCAGTATTAAACTATTCATACAAATTACCAATGAAAGTGTTAAGTAGATGGATGGAATTATTGCTTATAGCTGGAATCGGTTTTGTTATTTAAATTACAAAATGGGGGCAGTTGTAATGATTTGCTTTATTAAGAATTCACACTAGACTCTTATTTCACAGCATACATAACTGCTCTAAGGTCAAGACTTACTTGTTCTCAAGAGATTCATACTGTTTGCTGAGCTATCTCACCTCAACACTAATGAATATGATAAGTTCAGTCACCATGAACCCGCACACCACAGGTGTAGCACCTATCCTTTCTTACTTGTCCTATATTCAAATAGCATGCAGCATTTTTCTCGCATTGTCCAGCTACCTGAATAAAATCTCAAATCTGATGGAAACCAAGATTTCTTCCAAATCAAATTTCACCATCTTATTTCTAAGCCCATAACAGTTCAATTTTAAAGAGTCACTGGACTTGCTGCTGTTAAATGCCCCCTATTAAGCATTCTATTAGCCTTTAAAAACATCTACTTCCAAAGTATTTTCACCAGTCCTTTCTATATTAGTTGAAACAGACAATGCTAGCTAGCTATGATGACTATTACTTTGGATCAAGTTTATTACTAGAACTCTTATTATTCTAATGTCTTTATCATTTGTGTATCTTGCATTTGCTATTTTTCCTACAGAGGATCTCATAATCCCACTCCCCTTCCCTGCTCTCTCCTCTATGCTCGGCCTTTTTGACTCAGGAACAAGACTTAGCTATTCCTTAGAGACTTTCTCAGTCACCCAAATTCAGAGAATCCTCTATTTCTTAGAACTCTCACAGCAGTTAAGGCCTAGAGAGTTGACTCTAGGTACTCATTGACTAAGTACCTAGTCAGGCAGTGCGGTAGCTCATCTCCAAAAATAGCCTCCACTGACTACATCAAGAGGTGGAGCTTATTTCCCCACCCCATCCCACCAGCACAGGCTAGTCTTGTGACTGCCTTGACCAACAGAACACTGTGAAAATAGATGTTCTGATCCCAGGACTTAAGAGTGCTAAAAATATCCACCTTCTCACTAATGTAGCCCTAATACATGATGTAAAGCATTCAATTCCAAAACATTGGAGAAAGAGCCAACATTAAATTGTGCCGGAGGAGGAGACATGATGGGAATAAAGAATCCACTTGCAGAAGACCAGAGGGCCTCACACAATGAATGTAAAAGTGATGCTGTACATACCAGTATAGCTATCATCTGACTGCAATTGTATGAGATTTCAAGTGAAACCAACAGAACTGTCCAGCTGAGCCTCAAGCAATCCATAGAATCATAAGAAATAATAAAATTGCTGCTGTCTTAAACCATTAAATTTTCAGGCAATTTGTTAGGCAGCAATAAACAAAATACACAGTCATGTTAGCAGCATAGATTTTTATGGCTGGAATGGCTGTAAATATTAAAACTGTCCTGCGTCATGAGTCGTTTTGTGTATTATCTGCTCAAACTATGAACTTCCTAAGGGCAAAGAATGTATTTTAGTGGATTTTACATCCCTCTAGCATACTGCCCTAAAAATAGTAGGTACTTATTAATGTTTATTATCTTGTCCACAAATTAAGTACTTTAAAGGTTCATCTAATTTATTTTGGCCCTTGGAAGTTTTAGAATAAAATTAATTTGTATAAATAATTTTGTAAAAAAAAATTCAATCTTTGAGGGTTACATTGATAAGATTTCAGATTCCAAAATATTTTGACAAACATTTTGATATCTCTTATATCTTACACCTTATTTTTCATGTGTAGCGTTGTTACATAGTGATTCAACTATACTAAAATATAAGTATTGCTTTGAGGCCTTCCTTAGAAACCAAGAAGAAAAATGACTCAGCTACACCTAGAAATTAAGTAACATTTAAAATTCCAAATGACTAGAAGTAACATTTTATTTTATCACTCAAGGGCCTAAAATCTATATTACTGATAATACCCCAAAGCACTTTGGGAGACTTATGTAACAATGAAATGATTGCATTTCCAAAAAGACACTTAGCAAGTTCATTGCTGGTTCTTTCTGTACTTCAATGATTCAATCTTTTAGCTAGACATTTTAACTTCTTCTGTATCACTGGAGACTTGTCCAAAACATATTTCAAACAACCATGTACCTTCAGAGCCCACTGATTGTACCATTCTTAAAACCTTCAAGAATATTTACCAGTGATCTCATTGACTAAGTACCTTCAGCTGTACAATTTTGCACCTATATTACATATCTAATTTGGGGAACAAAGTGTACTATGTATACCTGATAATCTGACTACATTTATTTCCTATTATAAAATTGCTATAAGTATACTGATTCTTGAAGGCTTACCTTCACCTGGGATCACAGATGGTATTAAAAAGAGAATTAAATGATAAACAATTTTGAAAATATAATTTAAGATGTTAAATGTTAAAACCATTATAAACATGGAATGTAAATTTAAAATGCAAAAATATTTGAAACCACACATTTATGTAGTATTTTTCATATTTATAAAGTGGTGCTCAGAATACATGTATTTTCTATACTTTCTTGCTGGTGTAATCTTGTTTTCTTCTGGCCACACAGTCTGAGAAAGCAATAGGATCAAAACCAGTAACAAAAGTTCTCATTCAGTATTGAAAACAACTGAAAGAACTTCAGCCCAATATGTTAAGGCTTTAATATTATGGCTGAATACATCTTTTTGTACAATCAGTGGGCTCTGCAAAACTCCTCTGCCAGACACCTACCTAAATGTTTCTCCATCCTTTAAATGACAGAATGGAGAAACATTGTCTCAGCGAGACAAAGTGTCAAAAAGAATACTTAAATAAATTTAACCAAGGAGGTGAAAGACCTCAACACTGAAAACTGTAAGACGTTGATGAAAGAAATTAAAGACATACATAAATGAAATGATATCCCATGTTCTTGAATGGAAGAGTTAATATTGTCAAAATGTCCATATAACCCAAAGAGATCTATATATATAGATTCAATGCAATCTCTATTAAAATCCCAATGGAACTTTTTGCAGAAATAGAATAAACTATCCTAAAATTTGTATTGAACCACAAAAGACGCTGAATAGCCAAAGCAAACCTAAGAACAAAGCTGGAGGAAACACACTTCCTGATTTCGAACTATATTAACCAAAACAGGGTGGTACTGGAATAAAAAGCAGGCACAGAGACCAATGGAACAGAATAGAAAGCCTACATGTGTATAAACAACTAATTTTTGACTAGGGCACCAAGACAACACAACCAGGAGAAAATTTAATTAATGAATTTAATGGATGTACTGCTGAGCTCTTTCACCTACAGAAACAAAACATCACCCTTACCTCCAGATACATGCACACAGGCTTAATTTTTCTCACCAATCAATGCCACTTTCCTCACCATGGGGAACTTTTATGCTGCCATCCCTATGATTAAGTATTATGTGCCTTTCAGTTTGCCTTTATGAATATTTAATTATTTTAATAATACAGCTAAAAGCATTTGACTGATTAACCACAGAAATTCTGATAGTGGGCAGTCTTAAGAAATACCCAGTTCCGGGACCTCAGCTGCAGTATCTACTCTCTAAGCTATCCTGAACCCCTGCTCTGTCAACTCTAGTACTGTTACTAGAGGAATCCAGCTGGCTCCTGCGTTTCTTTTACCTGAGAACACTGATGACAAGGATGACAAACGAGCCCTATTATTACTAATGTAAACAATGCATCAAACTAGAGATAGTTGAAATTCCAAGTCAGGAATATGTTGACCTTGAAAGATACCCAGTTTCACAGGAAGAGTGTGCTGCTTGACATGTGTCCACCTGGGTCCCAAGCACTGATCTAGAATGTGAAAATTTCCTCTTATGCACCATTTTTACTTCCATTCATCCATTCATTTATTTACTCACTCATTCCCAGCACCAAGCAAGACTCTTAACACAGCAAAACCAAAACTGGGTTAATTATCTAGACCAATTCCAGCTTCAGGGCATGAGTGTTGCATTTACTGATAGTTTCCTTAGATGAGCCACTACAATTTGAGACCTTTCCAGTACCAGGCAAGGCTACAGTGAGAACCAGTTCTATAGGCCCCTGTATAGGAAAGAAAGACCAGATCAGAATATTTTAAATTTCCTAGGCTGGGTAAATTAGAAAAGATTGGCCATTTCATATGCTTCCTCAAAGAAGTATAGGATTAGACTATCAGTGAATGGGAATAAGATGGTCTTTATAAGGCCAGCATATTAGCTAAGTAATAGAGAGAGAGAAAAATGGGCAGGAAACAATAGAGGAAGAAAAGGAAAAGAAACAACTTGAATCAAAAGACGTTAAGAGCTGTGTGGCCCAGGACAGGCACTTACCAGTGTCGCACTGACGTGGTAAGGGGCAGTCAGCGGGCAAGAAGGATGGGGTGGACAAACGGGTGGGAGGTAGACAGCATCCAACTTCTCACCAATCCCACCACTTCTACCTACTCCAGGTTGCCATCACCACTGTAGACTACTGAAATAGCTTTCTGACCCTTGCTCCTCTATAGGTTTTCCTCTATCCATAATCAGAAGTGATCCTTATAAAAGGTAAATTACAGTTATATCACTTCCCTGCTCCGAACATTCAACATCTTCCCCTCCCACTCAGAATAAATTTCAGTCCTTATTACA